CTCTCATCTCCACCTCAACCATGTCTACTTCCACCACCTCCTCAACCTCCACCACCGCCTCCACTTCCACCACCATCCTCCACCTCCACCACCACTTCCACTCTCATCTCCACCTCAACCATGTCTACTTCCACCACCTCCTCCACTTCTGCCACCATCCTCCACCTCCACCACCATCCTCTACTTCTACCTCCACCTCCACCACCATCTCCACTCTCATCTCCACCTCCACCTTGACCACTGCCTCCATTTTCACCACCTTCTCCACATTGACCACCATCCTCTGCTTCTACCACCATCTTCCACCTCCACTTCTACCTTCCACCTCCACCTCCACCTCCACTTTCATCTCCACCTGCATCTTGACCACCACCTCCACCTCGACCACCATCCTCCACTTCCACCACCATTCTCCATTTCTACTCCCACCTCCACCACCACGTCCACTTCCAACCATTTCCATCTCCACTTGCACCTCTCCTGCTACCTCCCCCATCACTTCCACTCCCACCTCCATCATCACCTTCACTTCCATGTCCAGGTCCATCTCCATTCCCACCACCATCTACACTTCCACCACCATCACTCTCCACTTCTACCACCTCCACTTCTACTTCAATCTCTACGTCCACCTCCACCTCTACCACCATTCCCACTTCCCTCTCCACTTCTGCCACAACCTCCACTTCCACTTCAGTCTATATTTCCACGTCTACTACTACCTCCACCTCCACTTCCATCACCACGTCCACCACCATTTCCACTTCTCTGTGTCAATCTCCACCTCCACTTTCACCACTTCTCCATTTCTACTTCCACCTCCACCACCTCCAATCTGACTTCCTCCTCCACCACCATCTCCATCTCCACCACCACCTCCACTTCCATGTCTTCATCCAACTCCATCTACTCCCCCTCCACCTCCATCTCCATCTCCGTGTCTTCATCCACCTTCATCTACTTCCCCCTCCACTTCCACCACCACGTTCACCATCACTTCTACATCCATCACCACCTCAGCCTCCATCTCCACCTCCACATTCATCATCACTTACAGCACCACCTCCACCACCGGAAATTCTGATTCCATGGACCTTGGTGGGGTTCGAGCATAGGTACTCTGAAAACGCTCTCCAGAACATGCTAATATGCAGTCCTGAAACTGCCATTGCCAGCTCTGCATATCTGTTAGACAAAGCCCTAAAGCTGGTGCACCACTCCACGTCCTCTGCTTCCCTCAGCTTCCTACCTGAGTCTCGGGTCTTTATAACCATTGTAGTTGTTGTTAGGTGCCATCGAATCAACTATGATTCACAGTGATCGTATGAACCAAAGACTGGAACCGTGCCCTGTCCTGAGCCCTTATTACAATCTCCACCTTACTCAAGCCCACTGCTGTTGTACCAAGTCAAATCTTTTTCTCTGATCCTCCACCCTTTCCAGCTCAGTATCTTTTTTCCAGGAATGGTAATTCCCAACAAAATCTACAAAGTGTGTGAGTTGAAGTTACACCATCCTTGCCTCTAAGGATGTACTTCCCTTAAGACAGATTTGCTTGTTCTTTTAAAACTTCCTTCTTTTTTCTTTTTACAGTTTTCTGTTTACAGCCATTGTTGTTGTTGTGCATCACTAAGTTGGAACCAACCCATAGCTGACCCTCCAGGAAGTTGTCAGAGGCAGTTAACCACACAGGACGAGACAGCCCATCTTTCTCCCGTCTTTCTCCATCTTTCTCTCCGAACATCGGGTGGATTCAAACCATGTGTTTTGGGGACTAAAGTACAACTTCTTATCACGAGGCCTTTATAACCAGAGCTCCCTTAGTAGCCATTAGGAAGACATATAAAAAATAGGAAAGCTGATTTTCCTTTAAAAAATAAAAAATCAAAACACTTTATAGAACCACAGACAACATGCAAGGTTGGATACTGTCCTAACAGACACTAAGCAACATGTACGCCCTACCCCGTGTGCATGAGTTTGTGTGTGTTTGCATACATGTAATCTGAATATTCAGAAATATCAATGGAATTTGGCAGCAGACATAACCACATTCTCCTTCCTGCAGCCCCGTTGACTTTCAGGCTCTGAGAATCATACTCTTAGAGTCAAGCTTAAACCATTTCACAAATACACATCTATTCTCTAAGGAACCAAGTATGGTAATAATTATGAATGATCTAATCATGTTCTCATTACACCCCTCCAGTCATTTCAAGAAGCATGAAAAACCTCATTTTCACTTAACAGCTGTTCAACAGAAATGCCAGTTTATACTCTTTAGACATACCTCTGGCAAAAGGTGCCCTGGAGGAAGCTGGGGATCTTTTACGATGCATTTTGCCTTGTGTTTTGCTGCACACATAAAAAGTATTTTTTCCTTACCATTATTTAAATGGAAATACATTCTTCTAAATGCTTTCTGAGTTAACTGCTAAATTCGGTCATTTAAAAAAAGAATCCTTTATTCCCCCCCCCACACACACACAACACTGATTCATGAAGTTCTGGGAAATAGAGACAAAAAAATGTGGCCTGCTCTTAGCTTTGCTGAAACCATAGCATGATTATAATAAACAAAAGAGAAAGTGTTTAATAAGTGGGATTAAAACATCGTCTCTTTTTATCAACAAAGAAATGGAGAAAGATCCCTTACTGCCAGGTCGCTGTATATGTGGTCACCAAAATAAAGCACTTTGGATCCCCTCCATCCAGTAAGCTTCAGAAATTCATATAAATTGCCCTATAATAAGAGAAAATATAAATATTACATCATGTGAAAGATAAGACACCTGCAAAAGCCATACTTCATAATAGTTTTTATAAAATTAAAAAATTTTTTAAATACTCTCATAATTTAAATATCAAAATGTTGTTGCTGATAGATGCTGTTAAGTCACAACCAATTCATGACTGACCCTCCAGTGGGTTTTCAAAGGCAGTAAATCACATGGCAGGAGCTTGCCCATCTTTCTCCCACAGAGCAGCTGGTAGACATGAACAATGTACCTTTGGGTTGGCAGGACAAGTCCTTACCACTAGTCCACCAAATATCAAAAAACTCCCAAATATCAAAATACAAAGATAATAAAAAAAGTTTTCTTTATCAAATATACTTTTGAAAAAGAATTAATATTACAATATATCAAATTCTTTAATAATTGTCACATCAGAGTCAACATGTTGCAATACTATTTGCATGTTAATAAATATTAATCTGCCAGATTATTTCAGTAGTTGAGAAGTATTCCATTCCACAATATCATTCTTAATAGCATTAATTAATTAATGTTAGACAGTTACACATTTCTATATGTTTTCTAAATAACTTCAAGGTAAACATTCTTTTTTTTCCCATGCTAAACATTCTTTTAGCAATGTTTTGGCTACATCTTAATAATTTCCTCAGGTTAAATTAAAAGAGTTGCTAAATTTTTTAAGTCTTCAAAAATATACTGCCAAATACACAAGATTATAAAATACCCATTAGTGATATTATAGATATGCTGGGGGGAAAATAACTTGGGTATGTGGCCAGAAAGGACCAGTCCTTGGAGAAGGACATCATACTTGGAAGGATGGAGGGGCAGAGCAGGAGAGATGATAGATCGACCCAGTGACTGGGGTAATGGAGATCGGTGTGTTGGAGTCAGTGAGACTGGCTCAGGATTGGGCAGGATTCAGAGCTTATTGTAAATAGGGTCACTATGGACACAGGCAACTCGATGATGGAACATGACAACACAATAATGTTAAGCAATTCAGGTCATTTATTCAAATATTTGAGAACTTTCTATGATACCAAAATATACTCCAGCTGAGCATAAAGCAAGTCTCATCAGGAAATAATTAGTAATTTGGGAGAATAAAATGATGTATGCTTTAAGTCTTCTTAAAAAGAAATTTTACTACTGGCATCTTAAATTTCATGTACTTAAAAGTAATGTCTTGAACTTTAGACTTTTAAAAACTATTAAGTTCTGAGATATTTCAGATACCAGTATTTTGAAAATGCATCAACTGAAATAAATTTTTTTTCTATAATTATGTTTTATTAATTTTCATAAACATTGACAGAGATTTTGGGCTTCCACTCATTCATTGTTGCACTATTCTCTCTACCCTCCTCCCAGTTTGTTCTTGTCCAAATGCCACAGTGCTTGTCAAAGCCAGTTCTGATTAATCTTCTTTGTCAGTGTATCCTTTGCCATTCCCTATCACTCCTCCCTGAGAGAGACTTCACCCTGAGTCATAAGGAAAAGGGGACGGCGTATTCTCTTAGCTACTTCCTGCTGAAAAGGGACGCTGTGGGTTTCAGGGTGAAGATTGAAATAAATTTTACCACTAAGTTACAAACAAACCAAATTATATGGTGCTAGCACAGCACTCAGAATTGTGGATGGCATCCCACGCCAGCTGACACTAACCACAGGACAAGACAAAGCAGCATAAAAGAAGGAACTGTCAGGGCATACCTGCTTGTAAATCTGGCCTTTCTGCAACTTGTGGATCTTATCCCAAAGTAAGACTCCTTTCTCGTTCACCTTTCGGAAAGGTCTAACAAGAGAAAGAGGAAACACTGTGATAAAAGGTACAGGGGATCTGTGACATGGAATACATACAACACAGTTACCAACAGGTAACATAAAGTAAGTACCTCCACAAACCAACCTCCCAAACCTAACTCCACCTCTCATTTCCAAAGTCCCAAAGTGGTTACCTGAAGGTATTTAAAGAAAAAAATAAATCCAGGATGCAGTAAATTTGGAAACTACGATGTGCTGACTATGATGGGATGGTATTAATAAATTCAGAATTACCCAAACATATCAGTAAGTATAATTATAAAACTGACATCAGTTACCTCCAGCTTACAAAACTCTTACTTTGCCTTAGAATTCTTTTTTCCCCTTCTTCAGTCATTTAGTCATTCCCCTAAAGTACACTGTTGTTGTTATATGTCGTCAAGTTGCTTGCAACTCATAGTGACCCAATGTACAACAGCCCTAAACCCTGCTCTATCCTGTGCCAATCTCATTGTCTCCGACACACCTACTCCCACTGCCCCACTCAATCAATCCATCTCACTGAGGGTCTTCCTCTTGCGCGGTCCCTCCACCCTCCCAAGCATGATGTCCCTCTCCAAGGACTGGTCCCTCCTTGTAACATGTCCAAAGTATATCAAACGAAGCTTCAGAATCCTTGCCTCCAATAAGCAGACCAGCTTCACGCTCTCTAGGATGAAACTGTTTGTTCTCCCAGCAGTCCAAGGTATATTCAACACTCTTCTCCAGCACCACAGCTCAAAGGCATCATTTCTCCGTCTATCATCCCTAGTCACTGTTCAGCTCTCCAATGCATAGCACGCAATTGCGAAGACTATGGCCCAGATCAGGCGCACCTTAGTCTCCAGCATGAGATCGTTACTAACCCCCCTATTTATCAGGAGAAGAAATGCATCTTTCCTAGCTTGGCATTTACCTCTTTGAAACGGTTTTTCTCAGTTATATGTAAATTGTACCTTAAGCTTCCTATTTACCAGGAAGGGAAATGCATCTTTCCTGGATTAGCATTTACCTTTGTCTACTAGTAACTATATGGAAACTATTTTTTTTTTTTAATTTAGGTTGTTTATTTTTCATTTCAATGAACATCTACAGAGATTTTGGGATTCCATTCATTCATTGTTGC